ATTAAAGCATAAAACTTCAGTAGAAAGCAATCTTGGAATCAAACATGTGTCTGATTTATGTGTGAAAAGGATTTTTTTTAATGGTTGATACTCAAAAGTGATTATTTTTTAAAACAGGTGAGAGACAATGGGAATTGTTACTAGGTTGTAACAATTGTTACTCAGTTATAATTGCCCACCCCTTTTATAGAGGCATAATCAGAGTGGTTGCCTCCTAGGACTGTGGTGAGAATTACTTGAAAATACCACAGTCGAAGCAAGCAGAATTTGTGAGTGGTGCATAGTAAGCATTCAGCAGTCACTAGTTGTCACTGGAATCATTCTTAGGATGGGAGAGGGATAGGAGGGTGCCCAGTCTTCAGCCTTCCTTTGTCCTCAAATCTAAATAAATTGCCTTACTACCTTAGGTGGATCTGAGCTTTGGTGTACAGGATTATAAGTGAAAAAACAGCATGTGGAGTCTTCATAGTGTCCGCTTTTAGTTCCTAATTCCCTAGCCGGTGTTTTGTACTTTGAAATGATGTCTGTATGTTACCAGAAAGTTTCGTGTTGAGAAGTAACTGAGTAAGTTCATTTGTTCCTTGGGCTAGAAGCAGAAAAGAACTGAAGTCAGGAAGAATTGGGACTTCCCCAAATCCCTTCTGATTTGATTCAGTAACCTGAGTTCCTGAGAAGACTATTTTTGAGGTATAGAGTCTAGGTTGGATACTAGGAATGATGGGATAAAGGTGACGGGAAGTGATCCATGATTGGAGGTAGTACTGGTCTGTGGAGACAGCTTGCAGCAGTGGCATCCCACATTTGGTGGTCAGAGGCTGTCAGTTTGAAACAAATTTGGTTATGTGCTCTGTGTCTGTATGAATTTATAGACATGCAAAAACTTGAGAATTTTAAAATGTTTATCAAGTCATTTAATTTAGTAATAAAGTCAGGGTTAACATAAGTAACATTTTTGTGGAAAAAATAGCTTTTCCAAAACAAAGAGAAATTAGTGAAAAGAGTGACATTGTTTGACATTTTTGGAAATCTCTTTAAAAGTCTGGCTTAATAAGAGACATCTGTATTCTCATAATCTCCCTTCAGTCTGTTGTGATATGTTGTTTTTGTTAAAATCAATGAAGACAGTCCAGTCTCTCACAGAAACGTAGTTGGAAAAAAGTTTTAACAGCCTTTTTAGAAAATCATTCTTTGTTTTCTGTATTTATTTGCAGTGTGAAATCTGATATCAGATGAATGAACTGTTTGTATTCTGTTACCCTGTAATCCACTGATTTGCCTGGCACTTTGAATGGGTCTTTTACCCATGTGTGATTTTGTGTTAGTGGTATGGGAAATGTTGGTTAACTGGGTTACACAGTATAAAAATAACCTTAAGTAAGATCACCACCCATCTTGTCCAGCTCCTGATGGCAGTCATGTTTTCCGAAATTTTCACTGGGAGATTTTTATCGTTGACCCAAATGCTGTCCATTGTTTTCCTTAAAGTGACAGGCTCACATCATACACTTTAGTTTCTGCCTGACATCCAGGTCTGGTTAACTGTAGTTTGTCAGTTCGTGGAGGTAAAGATGGTGTTCTGTGAAGAGCAGGGCAAACTCATTTTGCAGCAAAAGTGTTTGTGTGGGCTTTTCATTTTGTCACATACTAAAAACGTCACCAAGACTCTATATTTAACAAAAGTACTTATTACTGCCTAATTAAGGACATTTTAAAGTAAAAGTGGCATTAGCAAAAAGAAAAACCCATGTGAGGTGGTGGAGAGCACAGCGGCTACTGGTGGAGCCCGGAGCTGCTGCTGGATTTGTGCGGGCACAGCAGTCTCACCACGGCTGCAGGCAAAGCAAAGACCAGCACAGTGAAAATGGCAAATGGTGTCTTGTGCTGTGGGAAGAGTTTGGTCATGCCCTCCTGCAGAAGGGTCTCAGACACCACCAGGGGTCTGTGAGCTACCCTCGGGCTTCATCTTCTCTTCATTCTGTCACTCATCCTTTGGCCAGACTGCAGCCTTGCCAAGCATGTTCCTTTCTCAGGGCCTTTTTTTAAACTCTGGCATTTGCTGTTCCCCCTGCTCAGAGTGTTCTTGGATTTCTTCTATAAGACTGGTGTCCTTACCACATTCAGGTCTCTCTCAAATTCCATCTTTCAGTGAGACTTCCTTGAGCATCTTGTATAATAGATGAGCATCTCCAGTGGGCCAGGGCGGTGGCGAGTGTGTGTCTGTGTGAGAGTGAGGCGGGGGTTATGGTGGCCACCTATGACCAAGTGAGTGGTGTCCTCAGGAACTAGGGCTGATTCTCTTAGTCCTGTTTTTTAAGTCTTTTTCTGATTATTCTTACCCGTCCTGACTGTTTTAGCCCTTACTATACCCTAGCCCATTCCACACAGTATCCACTCACTTTTGTTATTCACATGTATTAATCTCTGCCAAAAACTTGTTACCTTCTTGAAAAGGTCAGCTCGTTTTATAGATATGAAGTGCCCTTCCCCAAACTCAGAGAATAGGGAAATAAGATGTAAAATTAACATACTGAGGACTGTGAGGTTGGATTAGATTGCAGATACTAGTTTCACCAGAGACGACCGGCCAGGAGAGTGAACTGCGGAGGTGGACAGAGTGCGGCGTGCACAGTGGGAGCGGAGTCCACTGTCTGGGAGGCGGACCAGCGGGAACATCTTTCAGGACCATTGTGTCTCCCTGTCTTGATTCCATGCTTACCGCGCAACAGGGTGATTTGTCACCTGATGACCAGATACTTTGATATCAGAAGGCACGTCCCAGGCCGCTTTGTCACTAAGTAATCTGGTATTCAGGCTTGCATTGGTCCATCTTAGGGACTATCTTTGGGTTTCCTACAAGATTGGAGGAGCAGAGACAGGTAAATACTCCCAAACCATTCCTCTCTACCCAGTCTCAGTCAAAATTTAACCTAGTTACCCCTCTCTGGGGTAAATAAATCTGTGGTGAAACAAGAGCGAAAGTTCTATGCTAGTAAAACTTTTAAAGACAGTCCTCAGGAGTACTCCACACGGAGTACTGTTATCACAGCCGACAGATTGTCCATTTGAGGTCTCAAATTTGAGGAATAAAAGTCATTCTGAGTAACATTCAAGTTTTCTTGATAGACGTATGTTCCTCCAGTGCAAGTAGTAGAGATTATTTTGAAGTTGCTATCAGTTTTAACCTAGGTGCATTTTCCAAATAATCTTAAAGAAATTATGGTCACTTAACAAGCCCTCATTTTATTTTTTTGGTTTTTTTTTCTTAATTTTGTTTTTTGCGGGTGGAGGTAATTAGATTTATTTTGGTTTTTCAATGGAGGAACTGGGGATTGAACCTACTCTACCACTTCAGCTATACCTTCTCCCCTATTTTTTTTTATTTTTTAAATTGAAGTATAATTGATTTACCATGTTAGTTTCTGGTGTAAGCATAGTGTCTCAGTTATATATATATATGTACACATACACAGTTTTCCATTATGGTTTATTATAGGATGTTGAATATAGTTCCCAGGGAACAAGCCCTCGTTTTAGAGGCTCTGTAAGCAGGTCTAGAGAATGTGAAAGAGCACAATAGTGGTAGAGCTGGGGCTGGAATTATAAAGGACCTAGTACTGTAGCCCATGCTGCAGTATGTCCTTCATCTTTTTGCTGCAAAATCTTTTCTTTTGATGGTAGATTTAACTTTTGAAAACCATCAAAAGTCGTTCGGTCACAAATAAGATGGATGACAAGATTTAATAATTCACTATGGGTCTAAAATGAGCTAGCTTTAACAGGAATGTTTTCCTCGAGTGTTGTTGCTAATAGCTTATAAATGTATTTCCAAAACCAAACCAAAAAAGGACCACAAGGAATGATGGGATCAGAATATCCAGTTTGCTTCATCTCACATCTGCACAACAGTCTCAGAATAACGATTCTAATACTACATTACTAACTATGATCACAGTTAAATATGCTTTCCTCTTTGGTCCCTGCTCCCCCACCAACATATGCTCTTTGTTTGTTTGTTTGGTCCTACTAAATCTTTGTTCACTATTCGATCACATAGCCCTTATTGTACTCTCTCTTTTAACCTCATTTAGATTTGATTTTCTAAGCAGCTATATATTTAATATAGTACCACCTTGTTCTTATCAGTATTTCTGGTCATTTGGTCTAAGGCTTGTTGTCTAGTTCCAAGAGTGGCAAGATTTTTCTGAAAAGGGCAGGATAGCAAACATTTAGGCTTTGAAGGCTAAAAATGATCCTGTCACACAGTGTGTGTATATGTGAGTGGGTGTGTGTGTAAAACCATTCTTAGCTTGAGAACTGTACAGAAATACATCTGGCTGCAGTCTGCCATCCATAGTCTAGTAGTTTCTGCACTAAGGGCTCATGGAGTCAATATTTAGTTTTGCTGGATATAAAATCCTAGACTCACATGTAGATAATCCATATATACACACATCATACACTTTAGTTATGTATATAGTTTGTCAGTTCAGATATGTAACTTCATTTTCTTCTGGTATGAAACACTGCAGTTGAAGTCTGGTGATAGATACTCGAAGTTACCTGCTGTTTTTGCTGAGATGCCAAAGGGATTTCTTTCTTTTTCTTTACAGTCCAGTTGGTGTTGGTCATTCTTGGTTGATATTCTCAGGTATGTGATGTGTTTTTTCAATAAATAGTTTCAAGTATTAAAAAAAATTTCTTTTTAGAATAATAAAGATAAGGCAGACCTTTATGTATTGATGGTTTGAGTATGTCCATGATGCATGTTTTTTTGCCTCATAATTAATTTTTCCTTTTAAACAGTTCATTTTAATTTTTCCAGCTTTATTGAGGTGTATTTAACAAATAATATTTGTATGTATTTAAGACACACCACATAATATGTTATTCGGATACCTTGTGAAATGATTACCTCAATCAAGCTGATTAACATCTGTCACTCACATAGTTGTGTATGTTTCGGAGGTGGGCAAGATCACTTAAGATCTGCTTTTAGATTTTAAGAATACAGCACCATGTTACTAATTGTAGTCACCATGCTGTATGTTAACGCTCCAGAACTTCATCCTGCATGAATGAAACTTTGTATTCTTGGTTCTTGATTCAAGTATTCTTGATTTAGTTTTTAGTATTTATTTTATTTCCTTGCATTGGTTTTTCCCAATACATGAACCTTTGTTACCATATGTTGTCTCTTAATATAATAACATAATATTTGCCACTGTCTCTCAAATACTTTGTCTCCTCATTTCTTTTTGTTATGTTTTTTGTTATAAATTCTTTTTGTTGCCTCAGCCTGTGTTTTCTAATTCTGATTGAAGCTAGTCTGTCATTTTCTCAATGACTTTAGCTCGTTTTGCAATAGGATACAGTTTTGATCCTGTCTTTCTGGCATGCTTTCACCGTCTAAACGGATGTTATTCTGCTTCTTATTCACTTTCTGTGAAGGTTTTCTAAGTTTTTAGAAGGAAGTGTGGTTCAGGAGTTTTTCTGGCTTCACAGAACTGTTCAAACCTTTGACTCCTATTGGGCCCTATTGCGTCTTTTTCACACACATTTTCACATACTTGCTTTTTATCAGAGTAACCACCCCAGAACTCAGCTTGGCAAAGATATGATGTCATCAAAAGGATGTAGAGCAATCCTGTTGAAACTGGATCAAATCAAGCTGGTAGTTTGCTTAGAGCCTGACAGATATCAAATATTGCCATTTGTCCCACACCTTGGTGCCTGTGTTTGTTGGCTGCAGTGCACTCTGTCAGTCTGGTCCACCACTGGGGTGATGCTGATGCTGCTCATCTTGAAACCACACTTGAGAAACCAGTAGGACCTTTCACTGATTTTTGTTTTTAATAGAAAAGAAAGATTTTCAAAGTTATACTGCCAGCCAAGAAATCTCTTCTTTGGACTCATGTACTCAGATAGGCAAGCAAATTGGTGAAAAAGAACTGTATATATTCCAGTCAAACAGTTTGGAAACATGTGTGCGTGTTTTTGCGCATGTGTGCTTGTGAGAAGAGCAGACTTGCTTGCAGTTAGTTGCACGAACACAAAGATGTATGTTGGGAAAACTGGTTTGCATTTCTTTGCCTTAATCTAGATTTATAGTTGGAGGGTGGGTTGGGGAACTACTTGAGTTGATGAAAAGGAACCATAGAGAGCATGCTTGCATGCTTGTTGACTTTGGTGTTTAAGGACACTTGGTGAATATTTGAATTTGCTTTTGTGACCTGCTCTAGTGAACCTGATTGCCTGCCAAATAATGTTTTATGAAGAAGACTTGGTGTCTTTCAGGAAAGGGCAAGACATGGTTGGGGTAGGGGAATGCAGATTCCTCTGTACCAGGATTCCTCATGCACACAATGTTAGAGATTGTTCAAGTAAAACCTGCCCCTAATTTACACTATAATGAAGAGAAAACAGGGTTGACCTAAAAGAGCTATCAGCTACTCCCCGGTGAAGTGGCAGGTACAGCTATCCTCAAGCTAATTCCTTGAAGGTTGTGCACTGTTCTGATCAGTGAATTCAAATCTAGTTAGATAAAAATGCACTGAAGCAGTGCTTCCTGCCCCTCTCCTCACCCTTTTCCCCCAGGATCCCAGGAAATGTGGACGACTGTCGCTTGCCCCTTCACCATCCCCTTTTCTGATTTTTAAAATATCTGACAATTGATACTAGATTACAGACTACATTGCTCGGTAATGTTCACAGAATTCTGCAGAGAGCCAGAGCCCTGACGTCGGATTAACGTCTACGAGAGATGGGGTCTGGACCTAGTCCCATAGCAGAGATGCCGTGGCTGGAGCAGCAGCCTGCTCTCACCGCAGCTCTTCTCCAGGACTGACTGGGCTTTCGGTCATTTCCCTCTTTACAAACTGGACTTCGAGTTCTTATTACAATACGTAGACAAAAGAGTGTGGATTTGGTTTAGCCATGCTTTCATATGATGGGGTTTATAAATTATAAAGACAAATTCTAGATTCAAATAAGCCATAGAGATTCAGGTATTTCAACAGTAGTATTTCAAGTGCTTGTCCTAGTGAGAAGTAAGACTGGAAACTCCTTCACTCCACCCTGTGGAGCTGGCTTTACATGTGACAACATTGCCCTAAATTGAGCTCTTGGCTTTGGGCAGTAAATGCTTTATCTTGTAGCTGAGCTGGATGAAAATGGAAGAAATGCAGGCAAAGAAGCTGCGTGTGTAACTGTGCTTTCCTTCCCTGTAGTGTATTCCATGGGAAACGGTACGAGCAGACTCTATAGTGCTCTCGCCAAGACACTGAACAGCAGCGCCGCCTCCCAGCACCCAGAGTATTTGGTGGCACCTGACCCAGAACATCTGGAGCCCATTGATCCTAAAGAGCTCCTCGAGGAATGCAGGGCTGTCCTGCACACTCGCCCTCCCCGCTTCCAGAGGGATTTTGTGGATCTGAGGGCAGACTGCCCCAGTAGCCACCACCCACCTATTAGGGTCATGCAGTGGAACATCCTCGCCCAAGGTATGCCTGATGTGTCTGCAGCTGAGCTGTGATTGCCTTACTGCTTTTGCATGTCCCGTTGCACTGAGGTGTGATGTAGAGGGAAGAGGCGTGGGCAGGCCAAGGTGCAGGAGGGGCGGTGACCAGGGCAGCAGGGGGAGCTCCAGAGGGGGAGGTTAGGAAAGGGAGTCATCTGGTTTTCACCATCAAATCCCGATGGATTCCATACCCTCCAGCTTGTAGGCTATCTATTGAGTGCAGTAAAAGTCTGTGTGCTTCACAGCACACCCGGATTTAAAGGACCCTGTCTTACCAGCCTGAAACTTTCTGTTGTCTCCAGCTTTCAGTCCACAGCACTACACTAGGATAGCATTTGCTAGAAACTAAGTCTACTGAATGCGCTGGGAGCTGCGGCTAGGTACTCTTGTAGCCAGATTCTCATCCCAGTGTTATCTTTATAACCTGATGCCAAAGAGATGTTGCTTCAGCTCTCTGTTCACCAAGATATTACTTTGATCTGGTAGCAAGGAAGCCTTTCCTGGGTCTGCTAAATTAAAAGCAGGTGTGTAAGTCAACTTAATGTTGTATTGCCTATTGTGCAGCAGTTGATTTTTTTAAACATTTTTTATTGATTTATAATCTTTTAAGAGGAACTGGGGTCACCTTTCACCCCCTTTTCTTATGCCCTGAGTTTCCAACCTTTGATGCTTTTATTTTTTACCGCAGCTATTCATCCATAAATAGGAAAAGGTGCCTACTTAAAAGAGGTGTCATTTCTTCTGAGTGGTGACCATATAGACCTGATACGACTTATAGTCAGTATTGAACTCAGTATATAGAGTTGAATATATTTATTTCATATGATGTAGTTTAGATCGCTGGGAATGCCGAGAGCCCTGTTTAAGGCTAAAATTTAAGCTCTTATGTCCCAGAATATAGTGACATGAAAAAAATAGTTTTAATACAAAAGAAAATCTGTTGCTTGCTCCATCTGGATGGGAAAGGGTTTAGTTCGCCAGATCAGTGCAGTAATAGAGAAGAATCACCCAAAGCATCCGAAGCAGAGGAAGCAACAGAAGGTAGCAGCAAACCTAAGGTGACTCCCAGGTACTAGAAGTCATGGTTCTTAGTAGCTGACAGCTGACTGGCTTCTTTATTTCAG